GAGGAGTACTGTACTTTGGATTTGCCCTCATTAAACTTTATCCTATTTACCTCAGACCATTTCTCCAGTTTGTCCAGATCATTTTAAATTATGATCCTAACCTCAAAGCAGGTGTAACCCATCCCCAGCTTTGTATCATCTGCAAACTTAATAAGCGTACACTCGATGCCAGTATCTAAATTGTTGATGAAGATACTGAACAGAAACGACCCCGGTTATCTAGTCAGTTATGCACCCACCTTATAGCAGCCCCATCTTGATTATATTTCCCTAGTTTATTGATAAAAAGGTCATGTGAGACCATGTCAAATGCCTTACTAAAGTCTATGTATATCACATTTACTTGTTCTTTACAAATCCATGTTGGCTGTTATCTATCACCTTATCATCCAGATGAATTCCTTGATTTGCTCCATTATCTTTCCTGGCACACAAGCTGACCTGTCTGTAGTTTCCTGGATTATTCTTATTTCCCTTTTTATAGATGGACACTATATTTGCCCTTTTTCCAGTCTTCTGGAATCTCTCCCAACTTCTGTGACTTTTCAAAGAAGATAGCTAATAGCTCGGCTACTTCCTTAGTCAACTCCTTGAGTATTCTAGGATGCATTTCATCAGGCCCTGCTGACTTGAAGACATCTAACTTCGCTAAGTCATTTTAACTTGTTATTTTCCTATTTTAACTTCTAAACCTACCCCATTTCCACTAGCATTCACTCTTGTAGATATCCAATGATCACCAACCTTCTTGGTGAAAACCAAAAAGAGATATCATTAAGCACCTCTGCCACTTCCACATTTTCTGTAACTATTTTTCCTCTTCATTGAGCAATAGGACTACTTTGTCCATGGTCTTCATCTTGCTTCTAATGTATTTGTAAAATGTTTTCTTCTTAACCTTTATGTCTCTAGCTAGACTGAGCTCATTTTGTGCCTTCACCTTTCTAATCTTGCCCCTACATACTTGCGTTATTTGCTTATAATAATCCTTTATCATTTGACCTAGATTCCACTTCTTTATTTTTAGATAATTTAAGATCTCCTGGTTAAGGCAAATGATCTCTTGCTATAGTTCCTATCATTTCTTTGCATTGCTCTTGGACCTTCAACAATGTCCCTTTTGAAAAACTGCCAACTGTTTTCAATTGTTTTTCCTCTTAGTATTGCTTCCTCTGGGACGTCACCTACCAGCTCTCTGAATTTACTAAAGTCTGCCTTCCTGAAGTCCTTTGTCTCTATTTTGCTATTCTCCCTTCTACCATTCCTTAGAATCATGAACTCTATGATTTCACTATCACCTTTATTCAAGCTGCCTTCCATTTTCACACTCTCACCACTTCCTCCCTATTTATTAAAATCAATTCAAAGAACAAATTTTCCCTTAGCAGCTCTCTCAACCTTCTGAAATAAAAATTCATCTCCAGTGCAGTCCAAGAATTTGTTGGATAATCTGTGCCCTGCTGTATTTCCCCAACATATGTCTGAATAGTTTACGTCCCCCATCATCACCAAATCCTGCGCTTTGGATGATTTTGTTAGTTGTTTAAAAAAACCCTTATTCACCTCTTCTATATGGATAGGTGGTGTGCAATAGACCCCTAGCATGATATCACCCTTGTTTTTCACCCCTTTAAACCTAATGCAGAAACTCTCAACAAGTCTGTCTCCTATGTCCATCTCAACCTCAGTCCAAACGTATACATAAGACAACACCTCCTCCCTGTCTAACATTCATGAGCAAGCTGTACCCTTCTATACCAATACTCCAATAACTGGTATTATCCCATCAGGTCTTTGTAATACCAACTGTATCATAGTTGTGTTTATTTATTAGCACTTCAAATTGTTCCTGCTTATTCCCCATACTTCTTGTATTTATATACAGACAACTAAGATACTGATTTGGTTTTGCCCCCCAGTTCTGCCTTGTTCCTCCTTTCTCTGATATTATAGCCCATGGTCCCTCCCATTTCTGACCCATCTCCCAGGCCTCCACAGGTTTTTCATTTACCTGTAGGCTTTGGTCACTTGCCCGTCGAACAGAGTTCAAAGCCCTCCTCACTACCTTAGGCAGTCTGTATCCAAATACTCTCTTCCTCTTACTTGATACGTGAATCCTATCTCTGCTTAGCAAAAGCCCTCCTGGCAACACCATCTTTGCAGCCAGGCATTCACCTTCAGAATGCATGTATCTCTGTCTGGACCCCTACCTTTGGCCAAATAGACTGACGAGAACACCACCTGTATTCCCAACTTCTTCACCTGTAGTCCCAGATGTGGTCACTCCTGAATTCAGCTGCACTTCCCTACATCTACTAAATATTTGACAGAGTTTGTCTATCTTTTCAAGAACTATAAGAGCTAGGACCACCAAATTTGGTATGCAGCTTCCTCTTATCATAACTTAAAGCAAAGTAAAGGTTTGTTTGTGCCAGGAAAATGGTATTTGCCTGGAATGGGATTGAATTTCAGAAAACCATGCTGAAAAGAGACAATCGCCAAGCAGGTGTAAGGGTCTGGCTGAGAACATGCACCTCCCACAATCTGGGACTGCCCCAACCCCGAACCTCCCAACCCCCAGAAACCATGGTAGTTGAGGAGGGGAAGAGGAGGAGTTGAAGCTATCCCTAGGGATGTTAAAAAGTAGTTAATTAAGTAAGCAATATATTTTAAGATATGCTAAGATATTCAGTGGTTACATTCTGCCGACTCTGCAGTATAATACTTACATGCTGCAGAGCCCACAGCTCAGCCAGCTCCCCAAGATCGGGGCCCACAGCCAGTCATGGCAGGACAGGCTCTTAGCACCACTCCCAGGGAGCCGGCTGCGCTGTGGGCTCTGCAGTATAAAGCTTATACTGCATGGGGAGCTGTAGGTGACCACTGGTGCATGCTGGGATCAGGCTTAAAAAGTTGGCTCCAGGCATGCACCAGCTCCCGGGAAATGGAATGGGCTGCTGCCCTGTGCTGCAGGCAGGGCCAGACGGAGGCATGGGCAAGCCAGGCAGCTGCCCAGGGCGCCAACCGATGAGGGGTGCCTGACAGCAGCTGTAAGGGGCATGCAGAGTCCCTTACAGCTGCCATCAGGAGCCACGTGCCTGGCTCCCACAGCAACGGCCCTGCAGCACCAGCCCTGCAGTGCCAGCCCGCTGCGCCCCTGCCCCTACAGCTGCGGGGCGCACAGCCCGGCGCATGTGCCAGCAGTGCTGGCTGGGCCGGGCTGGGCAGCGCATGCACCATGCGCCCCAGGGGCGGACCCCGGGCTGTGCGCCAGCGGCCATGGCCGGCGCGCGCATGCTCCGTGTGCGGCGCCGTGCGCCTGCGCCCACAGCACCAAAAGGTCTTGGGCCGGCCCTGGCTGTAGGATCTCCAGTATAAAAACCATACTGCAGAGCCCACAGCACAGCTGGCTCCCTGGGAGTGCAGCCAGCAGCCAGTCCTGGCACATACTGGCTGTGGATCCCATTCCTAAGGAGCCGACTGCACTGCAGGCTCTGCAGTATAAACTTTATGATGCAGAGCCTGCAGCATATAACAGCTGAAAATCTTAATGGTTACACGGTTCACGCTTACTGGTTAACCATTTTAATAGTTGTGCCGTTACATCCCTAGCTCCGTTTGTACAGTAATATTACTGGCCATTCCCCCTTATCCGGGAGCAAGGGAAAAGTGCATTGTTTGCTGCATTCCTCACTCTGGCTGGGGAGCACAAAGGGCAGACAAATCTGGACTGCAAATTGACTAACATTCAGGAGACAAACTGTACATCCAGCTCTGTCATTAGCCTGCTGTGTAACCCTGAACAAGTAATTTTGCTTCTTATTTCCCTTCCCGCTCTTTGAGGACTTCAAGCGTTCTCTGGAAGTGAGAGACAGGGGATGGATCAAGTGAGGATTACCTATTGTGATCCCTTCCTCTGGGTTATCTGGCATTGGCCACTGTTGACAGACAGGATACTGGGCTAGACAGATCTTTGGTCTGACCCAGCGTGGCCATTCTTATGTTGAAGCTCTTAAAGACAGGAATTGTCTTTGTTTGTACACCTTCTAGATACTAACACACTACAAACACAGCAACAGAATAGCAAGAGCAAAAACCAGGAGGACTACAATTAAACACCTGAATCGACAAAAAGTCTCAAAAGGCTATATTGAGTAGGAATCAATCTTCTGATACCAATACCTTTTATTCCTTGAAAGTAACAACATGACCAATGTTCCCTCTAATTTTTTTATGTCTGCGTATGGAATGAATTGCATTAGGAGTACCAGTAAGGAGGCTATGAATGAAACATCACCTCTATTTTGGTGCACATAAAGATCATTTTACACATGGACAGTGTGTGGCAGGGTGGGGCTGAGTGGTTCAGAGTGTGAGGGTGAGGCTCAAGGCTGGGGCAAAGGGTTGAGCTGTGGGAGCGGGGTGAAGGACCCTATCAAATAATCTTAATAAATAAGAACATTTTAACAACAGAGTTAAAACTCACTGAAGTCTGAACATTTTTTTAAAAAGGAATGATGTGTTTATTAAAGATTATGTTTTGCTGTTTAATTCATAAATGAAAGCTTATTCATCAGCATGGCTGGCACAATATCCTTCAAAAGACTGCATGAAAATTACCCCCTTTTAAAATAATGTCATCTCCTTTTGGCCTCAATGAAATGAAAAAGGGTTGCCTTTCAAAAAAAATGGCCACTGTCTTCATTTACCTACTCCTCACAGTGTTCTTCTCCCCATACAGCATAGAGGGTTATCTTGCAGAGGACAGCTTGGCTTCACTCCCTTTGGGAACAATAGGAAGAGGACCCAGTTTGAAAGAGGGAGATTCTTCATGAGTTTCTCTAGAGCAGAAAATTTTATTCTTCACCTTATACATGAACTTTCATTTTTAAAATACCGAGAAAGGCCATTAATCCTAAATATTTCTTTTTTAAAGCTACCCTATTCACCAAATATTCTCAACCACAATTTGAAAGTCATACTATGTATCTTTATCACAGGAACTGGGCAGCAGCACTGCGGCAGCCAGCCCCTGCCACTACCCCCTCAGATTGGGACAGACAACCTGCAAATACATGGAACCACAAACAGCGATTGTGCAAATCAAAAGGGCCTCCTGTACCGATTTGTATCTTCATTCCATTTTAATTTGGTTTTGTCAAAGAATAATTAAGACTACTAACTTCCAAAGTAGATTTTTCGTAAATTAGTATTAAGATATTGAAGAGAAAGTTAAGGACCTAACATTTTACACACTATTATACACTAGGGTTTATTAATAGTTTAAAAAAAAAGTGTTTCTTTAATCAAGCACTTTTCTGGTCATCAACCTAGATAAAAATATCCTTACTCTTTCTCTGCATCTCCTTCACTTTCTTCCACATGTTCAAAGCTCCAATTATTTTTATAACCGCCATCTCTCTTGGATTGCGATCTATCCAAAGCTGAAATGAGAACAAGTTAAGGTAAGCCTTCATTTCAAGCCAGATCATAAATCAATACTAACTAGAAGTAGCATGCTATTTTAAACCAGAGGTGCTCAATTTTTTCACATTCACAGTCCCCGAAGCCGGGAATTTTTTTGTTGAAGGAAAAAAAGGGCTGGCAGGAACATTTTTGTTGCGGCCTTTTTAATTTAAAGCACCGTTCCATTCTGCTTCCCTGCCACTCCCCCCACGTGTATGTCGGGTGCTGAGTCAAGAAAACAAAATGCCAGCTGGCCCAGATCAAAGCACTGCAACCCCCCAGGAAAACGGCCGCGACCCCCGTTGCGACCCCTGAGTTGCGCACCGCTGCTCTAAACCATGTATTTAGTGATTGCAGTACTGACATTTTTAGAACGTACACAACTATATAATGACATCTTTCAGCATATTGACTGAATCTCATGTTCCAGAATTAGTTTCAAGGGAAAAAGCACACATTTGACACCATATATTGTTATTAAAGGACTGCTAATTGAAACAGAAAAAGAACTGCATACTTTTGACTCGACTAATCAGCCATTCAGTTGACAGCATTGACATATGCACAATTTTCTCCGAGGATATGCACTGCATACCAACCTCAGGTCAGTCTCCCTGCAATTTTACTCTGTCAGTCTAGACCTCAACCCCTCCCCCCCCCACACACAGGGGTCGGCAACCTTTTCAAACCAAAGAGCCAAACCACATCAAAATTCACAAGTGGTCAACAAACAGATGTGTAAGAATGCCCATTCGCATGACTGAACATGTACAATCTAATATTATTGATACTTGACATGATTAATAATAGCATAAATTAAACATTGTACTCACAGACTTTATTTAATGGGATTTCTGCTGCTGCTGGGGGTACAATTAGTGCATGTGGGGGTACATGAGTCAGGACTGGGGTGCATGAGGAGCTCAGGGCAGGGGTTGGGGTGTGGGAGAAATGCAGGAGGCAAAGCAGGCTGCATGGGGTGGGAAATAGAGTATTTGGGGGGGCCCTGGGGATGGATTATCTTACCTGACTAGGGCTGGGCTGCTGCACCAGGGCAGCAATGGCTGGACGACGGTCCGGGCCAGGATCGCTGCAGCCAGATCATGGCCTCTCCTCCTACCTGTGCTGCAGCAGGAGGGGAGCCACCATCAGCCCTTCCAGTGGTCAGATAGAAGCTGGACCATGGCGCCTGCCCCAGGATCAGGGCCTGAGACAGGATGCTGCAGCCAGAAAGGGGCCAGGTCCCAATTTGGGCTTTGTTGACCAGCCTCAATTTTTAAATAAAGTAAAATATAATGTCCAGCAGAAAAGATTTCAACATTCTCTTTATTTATGGCAGGATAAGGAACCTTTTTTGGGTTGGAAGCCATTCACCAAGATAAAAATCAGTTTGGGATGACAAGTGAGATGTAAAATAAACCCCTTCCAAATCGCCCCCAGCCCTCCCTCATGTGGCTCCCAACTGACACTTCACTCCCCTGCAGCACCATGGTGTGGGGAGGAATAGGAAGAATGAAGGTTCAAGGCCTCAGTCCAGATTAGTACTTCTGGGGTTCCAGGGTTTGTGGGATCCCCTAGATTCTGGAATGGGTGACAAATATGAGGGGTTAAGTGTGTAGGACAGGGCTGCAAGTGAATGGTGAGAATACAGGATCTGGGCAGGAGGTGGGGTACTGGAGCAGGCTGGGAGTAGGGTGTCTGGTCAGGTCAAGGGAGCAAGGGAGGGTGCAGAACAAAGTACCCCCTAAGCTGTGGCACAGCACAGCTTCACAGGTGGTTAATCAGCCCTGCCCACTCAGCACCACTGGGCAGTGCGGATTGATCACCTGTGAAGCTGTGCTGCTGCGCAGTTTAGAGGGAAAACTGGTTCAGAAGCAGGCTGGGGGTAGGTGTTTGGCCAGTCGAAAGGGTGCAGGAGCAGGCCAGGGGTCTCGGCCGAGAGGATTGGGGTTGCTACCTACTTGCTACTGTGCAGTTCTCAGCACCATAGCCCGGGCACCACCTCCTGCTGCGTGAGTAAGGAGTGCTGGAGGTGCGGGGCTCTGGGCATGAGGGGGCGGGGAAGGCTACTTACTTATTTTGTGTGGTTCCCAGCACCACAGACCACCTGCTGCTCCCATTGGCCCGATTCCAGGAAAAGCCTCCAGGAAGCGCTTCCCTGTGTGGCTGTTGCCCCAACAAGGGGAGGGGGAAGGGAAGCAGCAGCCACTTCTTCCCCACAAGCCGGATCCGGCAGCGAGTCTCAGGGCTTCCTGTGAGCCCTCCCTCCCGCCCCCAGGAAGCCTGTGCTAGAGCTCCAAACTTGCAGTGGACCATGAGGCTGGAGTGCTAGCACAGGCTCCCTGCTGTGGGGAGAAACAGGAGGGAAAGGGGTGGGGAAGAGGCTGAGCTGAACCAACAGAAGAGCCATATTTGGCTCAAGAGCAATAGGTTGCCAACCCCTGCTCTATGGGCTTGTCTTCACTGCCAAGCGAACTTTCTTCCTTGGGGTGTGAGAATCACCCCCCAGAGCAGCAAGTTTCAGCACATTAACTAGCCAGCACAGGCAGGCTCCCAGCACAGGAACCCACGTCGCTCGTGGAGGTGGTTTTCCTAAGCACTGGGAGCACTCTCCCCCAGTGCGGGTGCTGCAACCACACTATCACATAAAATGCTGCACATGTAGATAAAGCCATCATTTATTTTTCCAGTTAGATTTTTCAAAACAACCATTGCTTTATTTAAATCATTTGGTAGGTAAAACCTTCTAGATGCAATGATCAGACTGGATATAACCATGGTCCTAATAGTTGATAACCTCAATGAGAACAAAGCCTTTAAAAAAATAATTTTCTACAACAGTAGAAAACTGTTGCATTCTGAGGCAGCAACACCGGGAGGAGGCCGGGGCAGGGAAAGCTGCCATGAAGCAGTCTCTATCCACAGCCGATAGAGCCTTCCATGGAGCAGCCTCTGTCCCCAGCCAGCCAGGCCCGCTGCAGAAAGAGGCTGGTCCCCAGCAATAGCCCCTGTTCGCGGGGTATCCAAGCTCCCCGCGGACAGAGACACTACAGGGAGCTCAGACTCCCTGCAGACACAGACTGCTGCCGGGGACCAGCCTCAGTCTGTGGAGGGCCCAGGCTCACTGTGGACAAAGGGTGCTCCGTGGGAGGTGGAGCAGCCTCGATCTGCAGGGAGTTTGGACTCCCCACAGACAGAGGCTGCTGCCACCTCTGTATCAGAGGTAGCAGTGTATCAGAGTTGCCTGCTGCTCCACAGAGCCAGCAGTGTGAGGTGGCAGGGGGCTCCCTTGGAGTGGGGCTGGAACGCACTGGCTGCCAGCCTTGCCCCCAGGGACTACAGAATAGTCATGTAATCAATAAGAATTCATGCAGTTACTCGACTATTCAGTTACCCGATAATTAACATCCCTACCATCTAGTGCCTGATCTATAATAATCTGAACCAACTGCTAACAGAACAGACTTGAGAACTTACTTACAGCTGAAAGATTACTAAAGGATTTAAGAAGCAATGGAAGGAAACAGCAATTCTGCAAAAACTATATTTAAAACATTGCATTTAGTGCCAGTTAGGAAGCAGCAGGACACACACCATCTACCCAAACATACTAAAATTAGGGAAATAAGAATTGAGGGGTAAACTAATGCATTCTTTCCTATTTTCATATTGCCTACAGCAGGCATGTCAAACAGGCCTCTGACCCGAGCAAAATTTTTGGCGGCCCACCACTACATTTCTAAAAAGAATGGAGTGCGGCCCTCTGGCCGCTCGGAACATGTGGTCGAGTGCAGATCACAGCAGCAGCGGCCTGGCTCTACGAGAGAGAAGGGGGATATTTTGTTAATATTTTGGTTTTTTATTTGTTTATTCCCAAATAAAAAAAAAATCACAAAACGTAAATTAATTTCATATCAATAAATATGTAAATTGTTTGCTGCATTCCTCACTCTGGCTGGGGAACACAAAGGGCAGACAAATCTGGACTGCAAATTGACTAACATTCAGGAGAGCTGTACATCCAGCTCTGTCATTGGCCTGCTTTGTATGTCTATGCAAAATCTCAAACTTACAAAGTATCTGAAATTTTCACAGAAGCCTGTTCTATTTGATTAATCATGGTCTATACTTGCTTTTATTTCAACAAAACAAGTTATGTATCATATAAAAAATTAAAAAGTACCTTGAATATGTACTTAAACTAAAAAATATTTTATATGGGCAAATAATTTTATACATCAAATTATTGCATTATATTAAAATAAGACCTGAAAAATTATAAAATATACCTAAAACGTAATGTATAATAGATATGACTTTCTGATAGAAGTACATTTTCTTTGGTGGCCCTGAAAGCTATCAGTTTTCGTTTGTGCAGCCCTCAGTAGGCTTCGAATTTGACATGCCTGGCCTACAGCAACTGTTGGTAACTCTTTCCAATGCTCCATTAAAGGTCTTCAACTTCCATGTCTAGCGATAAACCCCAACTGTCTCTGCCCGGGGTAGGAGACAGTGAGGAAATGACACGAGCAGGGATTGAAACAGTCCTGCTCGTGCTGGTCCCGCTGCTGCTCCTCTCCCTTTGGAATGTACAAGAGCTGCCTGCAACTCTTCAAAGGAAGAGGCACAGAGGGGAACCCATATCAGTGGAGATTACTTTGCTCCCTGCTGGCACAGGTTCCTACTGCCTCTCTCCCTTTGAAATGTACAAG